TATATTGCAAAACTCTATAATACAAACGATATGGGTAGGTATTGACATAAAAAAGACATAAAGATGAGTGGAACAGGATCAAGAGCCCAGAAATAAACCCATGACATAATAAACTTATGAAAAAGCAATCAATAAATTTATGACAAAGCAATCAATGATATCAGCTGTCTGGGAAAAGGACAGCTTCTTCAACAAATGCTGTTGGGAAAAGTATACAGTCATATGCAAAAGAATGAAACTAGACCACTATCTTACACCATACACAAAAATTAACTCAAAATGAACTGAAGACTTGAATGTAAGATTGAGGCCATAAAACCCCTAGAAAAAAGCATAGACAGTAAGCTCCTTGACATCAGACTCTGTGACCATTTTTTGGATGTCTCCAAAAGCAAAAATAAACTACTGGGACCATATCAAACTAAAAAGCTCTGTACAATGAGGAAAAACCATCAACAAAATGAGAAGGTGACCTACTGAATGGGAGGAAATATTCGCAAATCAAATATCTGATAAGGGGCTAATAGCTAAAATATATAAAGAACTCATACAACTCAACAGTGAAAAAATAAAAACCTATTAAAAATGGACAGTGTATTAAAACAGACATTTTTCCAAAAAAGACATGTAGGTGTTCAACAGACACAAGAAAAGGTGCTCAACATCACTAATCACCACAGGAATGTAAATCAAAATTACAAACCACAATAAGATATCATCCCACACTCCTTAACATAGCTATTATTTAAAAATCAAGAAAAAAACTGTTGGTGAGGATGTGGAGAAAGGAAGTCCTTTTGCACTGATGGTGGGACTATAAATTGATGCAGCCACTGTGGAAAACAGTATGGACATTCCACAAAAAGTTGAAAATAGAACTACCATCTAATCCAGCAATTCCATTTCTGTGTATTTATCTGAAGAAAATAATAATACTAAGTTGAAAAGATATATGCTCCCCAATGTTCACTGCAGCATTACTCACAATAGCCAAGATATGGAGACAACCTAAGTGTCTATCAATATATAAATGGATAAGGAAAATGCAGTTCATATGTATAATGGAATATTACTCAGCCATAAAGAATGAAATTTTGCCATTTGCAACAACATGGATGGACCTTGAGGGCAGTATTCTACTAAGTGAAGTAAGACAGAGAAAGACAAGGTAGAATCAAAAAAGACAAAGAACAATAAAAACTGAACTTATAGATACAGAAAACAGACTGGTGATTGCTAGAGGTGAAGAGGTTGGAAGGAGATGCACAATGGGTGAAAAGGGGTCAAAGGTACAAACTTCCAATTATAAAATAAGTCAAGTGGATACAACATACAACATGGAGACTATAGCTAGTAATACTGTACAGCATATTTGAAAGTTACTAAGACAGTAAATCTTAAAAATTCTCATCACAAGAAAAATATCTAACTATGTATGGTAATGGATGTTAATTAGACTTGCTGTGATCATTTTGCAATATATACAAATTGAATCGTTGTTATTTACCTGAAAGTAACAGGTATGTTGTATGCCAGTTATGCCTCAATAAAAAAATGATACAAAAAGTGGGGCAACTTGAATGGTGATTTCATGGAAGAAAAACTGCAAATAGTCAATAAATATACAAAAAATGCTCACTCTTTTAGTAATAAAAAAACACAAATCAAAACCACAAGAAATATTTTACACTCAGTAAAACTGACAAAAATTAGTAAGTCTGAATACAGATAAGGGTGGGATCCATGAGACACTTTAAGCACTGATGGTGGAGTATAAACTGATACAAGCACTTTGGAAAACTATTTAGACATGTTATATTTGACATAAAAAAGACATAAAGATCAGCAGATCCTGCGGGTCCAACAATTCTACTCTTGGCTTTATAACTAGAAATACTCTGATATGTGTGTACCAAAAGGCAAAAATTAGAATGTTGATAGTATACTATTCATAGTAGCAAAAATTAAAACAACTTTACTCATCATTAGAAAACAGAAAGGATTCATATGTGGTGGTATACATATATCATAAAATAGCACATAGCATTAAAAAAGGATTCAATGACAAGGAATTCAATTTCCAAGATTCAATGACATGGTTGAATCTTGGAAAAAGATGTTAATTACAACAGGAAGTCCTAAAAGATGACATGTTATCATGCTATCATTCTGATGAAATTAAAAACCAAGCAAACCTTAATGACACATACATAATTTTAAAATAACATCAAAAAGCTATTTTTTTTAAAAACCAAAGAATGATAAAAAATACAAAATAGCCATCTATGGGTAGAAGGCCCAGGGAAAAAAGAGAGAAGCAGCACATAGATGGACATGAGATATTTTTTAAATTCAAGTTCTTAAGTGGCAAATTCAAAATTTACTAATGGTATAATTATGCTTTATAATCTATGTATGCTACATTTTTTGTAGTATCAGTACACTTAAGGCTAATTTAAAATACATTATGAGAAATACAACTAGTAGAATTAAAGTATGCTTAAGTACTCCATCAGTAAGACATAGGTAACTGTTTTCAGTAAGATTAGTATGTAAAAAAGGAAATAGTCTAAGTATACATTTAGTTCCAGTCACCCATTTCTAACTTCTTAGTGGCTGAAATATTACTGTTATGCTTTTGATAACCTTGAGTAAGGTTTGTAGAAATAGCAATATACAGAGTATACTTTAGAAAAAAAACAGAAAGCTTATTTTTCTATTTTTCTCTCGCCCCATTCACAAACATTAACAACTATACAAACAAAGAAGGATTTGCATAATATAAAAATCAGTTTGCTATCCTCCATCATTTGCAGAATTGAAGACTAGTTAAGTATGAATTTAAAAAGGGTAGTAACTTTGTTTTTATCTGTATCCCTTGGCATAAAAGTGACAATAAATACTTGCTAAATGACTGAATAAATATTTGATGAATGAATCATTGCATGATTTTGGTGTAGTTTCTGATATTATAATCAATTGCCTCACCTACTAAAAATAGCATTACAGTGCCCTCTCCTGTTTGTACTTTGTAATGGAAGTAACCCACTTGGCCTTTCATATTGCTTTACTATCTTAACTACAGTAGAAACTAATCACACTGGGATAATTAACAGTAATATAATTAACATACCAGCTGGAACTTCTAAGGAGACTATGACTCTGTAACTACCATTCTTCACCTTCTGAATTCAACTCATCAATATAAAATCTAAAGAATTTTATAAGCCTCAGAGTCTGGTGTATGTATGCCCTTAATCTAAGTGAAAGCTAAAATAAAATGAAGTTAAGTAATTATTTTAAAGTCTTAATCTATGTAACTTGGATGGATCTGGAGAGCATTATGCTAAGTGAAATAATCCAGGTGGTGAAAGACAAATACCATATGATCTCACCTATAAGTGGAACCTAATAAACAAAACAAACAAGCAAGCAAAATAGAACCAGAGACACTGAAATTAAGAACAAACTGACAGTAACCAGGGGGGAGGTGGAAGGGAATAAAGGGGGGAAAAGAGGGAAGGGTTGTCAAGGAACATGTATAAAGGACCCATGGACAAAGCCAAAGGTGGGAGGGATTGAGGGTGGGAGGTGGGGATGGCTGGGGTGGGGGGAATGGTAGGGGAGAATTGGAGACAACTGTACTTGAACAAAAATTTTAAAAAGAAAAAAGTAAAAAAAATAAATAAATAAAAAATAAATCCCAAGTCTCTCCTTACAGATGATATACGTTTTCTCAAATACTTGAAGAATTTAAATATGTTGGTAAATAGAACAGATCCTAATAAAGTACTAAATGAAATTACTTTTTACTCTAATAAAAGATATACTGTCTCCAGGAAATAGTTCTACAGTCCTTTTTTACCTCTTGGCAGAGTACAATATAAACTCAACCCTAATATATGCTGTATATTTTTATTTACATAGGCTTAAAACATATAACCAAAATAAATGTCCTCTACTCCAAGTAAAAATTAAACACCTCCACTTATAAAACCCTGTTTCTAAAATAGAACCATTTCAACTGATATTAAAAATTAACTTCTATTTGTAAAGTTCAGCAGTGGCAATCAGTTCACCTGAGCCAACATTTGAATGTATGAGATAATTAGAGTAACTGAAAAATTCATAGAAAATATCTGCTAAGTATTACAAGTAAGACTGAATAAGAAAACAAAAATGTTTTGGTATTTGTATACTTTACTTTCAAAATTTCTACTATTCTAATAATGCTGTTTGTATAATAAACAATATATTTTTAAAACTATGTTGCAGTTAAAAAGAAATTTTAGCATATTGCCTTAACCATCTCTTTATAATAAAAATACATACATATTATATAAGTAGTATTAAAGACAAATAGCAACTGTTCTAAAACATTTTCATACCCAAATTTTCTATTATATAAAAATTCTGACAAACTAAAGCAGTATTTCTCATTTTCATATGGCACTGAGTTTCTTACACAATGTCCAGTCTCAAAGTAGTATGACTTATACTTTGTGGTGATTGCAGAAAGAAATACTATGAAGAAGGCCCTGGCTGGTGTGGCTCAGTGGATTGAGCACCGGCCTGGGAACCAGAGTCACTGGTTTGATTCCCAGCCAGGGCACATTCTTGGGTTGAGGGCCGGGCCCCCAGTAGGGTGTGCGTGAATGGGTGTGAGAGGCAACCACACATTGATGTTTCTCTCTTTCTTCCTCCATCGCCCTCTCTCTAAAAATAAATTTTAAAAAATACTATGAAGAAAAGGTTCTAAATGATTAACTAGATCATAGATTAAGCAATCTTATCTTTAAATAATCAAGATGTAAATATACAAATACTATCAATCTCTGATGGACACTGACTGACTATTTATATTCTTCACTTTGCATTTCAATGCCTGGAAAAAAGTAGAATGCTTAAAAATCAAAATAAAAATACCATATGCTTTTTATAAGTACATATCAAAATATTATCACGTCTCCAAACATGCTATTCAAACTTGAGCTACTTACTTGATGGTGCAAGGACATCTTTGCTATCACCAAGAAGCTTTTAATGCAGGGTAATTGAGCAGCAAACAAACACAATCCAAACAAGGAAGCAGCACAATGCATCAGGATTGAAGCAGCAGTGAAACAAAAGGACAAGGAAAATAGCATTAGTTTATAAGTAGAAAGCACATGCATATCAATCCTAATAATCACAATTCACAAAGAACTTCCTTTTCCACACATAAAAAGATCTTAGCTTAGACATTATCCAATATTTGTTTTGTTCTGTAAAATGAAGGTAGAAAGAGAAAAATAAAGTCACCCAAGTATTTTGTTTTGAAAATTACTCAAGTCAAAAATTATTCTGAATTATAATTTAAGATTTGGGTTAGGAGCAGTAAAAATTATTTAGAAATGTAAGATACAGCCAAAAGTTATTCATTCTTAAATTTAAATGGTTTAAAAAAATACAACACCCATGCACTATTAAATATTAGTTTTGCATGCCATGAAAGCACTTAACACTACATAGAAATTCAGTCTATTTTTTCTATAAAAAGAAAGAACATTTACTGAGTTCTTATTATATTCCAAGCATTGTGCAAAGACCTTTTACAAAGACACCAAGAAAGTAGAATAATTATTTTCTCAAATGGCAAAAAACAAAGAGGAATACTGATTAGAATGATTAATTTTATTAGCTCAGATGAAATTTTCTTAAATGAATAACTTGCAATCAACTAAAAAAGAAAAAAAGACTGCTGGCCTGTTGTCTAGTAACTACTTTCACATACAGCATTACACTAAATGTCACCTACGGACAAGTGTTCTGGTCTCCCTTGGTAGAAAAAAAGTCCTTAGCTCTCCTTCATTTCAAATACCAAGAATGATAGTAAATCAAAACTAAAGTACCACCCCCCCAAATAATCCCACCAACTACATTATTACTTGGCTTTATTTAAAGGGGATGAGGGAGTCTTAATTTGCTATGACCAAAAAAAAAAGAAGGAAGAAAGAAAAGAAATAGCAGTTGTTTGCTTTGGGCTTCTATTGTCTCCTAGGAAAAAATCTCAGCCCTGTTAGTTCCCTGAAGTGAGGATTATTTCACAATGCTTGAAACTGTGTTCTAATGCCTTTTAAAAAGGCATTTGCTCAAAAATACATACATACATACATACATACATACATACATACATAAAGGCACTTGCTCTGTTCATTATTCTGCAGTTGCCCATTTACTCATTTTTCTACAAGCTAATCTTAATTTCACAGAATAAATTTTTAAAAATACAGCTTTAGTGACAATCAAGTCCTTGTTACCATGTGAGTACAACTAGCAAGTATGTGGGAAGAAATTAAAGCATTTATGGTAGGCAATCTCTAAAATGGCCTAGAGATCCCCACTTCTTGGTATACAACCTCTTCTTTGAGAGTATGCTGGACTTGCTTACATCACTTCTAATGAACAGAATATGGCAGAAGTAAAGGCATCTATCTCACTTCTGAAATTAGACTACAAAGAGACTATGACTTCCCGTCTTGTTTGCAGTCCCTTATTCTTACTAGATAGGTCACCCTGGGGAAAGCCAGCTGCCCAACAGTGAGGCAAAGGAAATGAGAGGTCTGCAACAACCACTGAGTGAGCTTTGAAGTGAACTTCCCACCTTGACCCTTTTCCCCTCCCCTTCCATCCACTCAGTCAAGCTTTCAGAAAGACTGCAACAGGCTGCCTCTCTCCAGTAGCTTGACTGCAACTTATAGAAATTTTGTGCCAGAGTCAACTAGCAAAACTGTTCTTAGATCTCTGACCCACAGAAACTAAGATAATAAATGGTTGTCATTTTATACCACTTAAGTTTAGGATGATTAACACCAATAAATAACTCATATAATATTGGGAAAGTGAAGGAAGTTAAACTGATAGAGACAACTGTGGCAAGTTTTACAAATGTTTCACGGACATCTTCTTTTAAAAAATGTTCTAATACTGATATAAATAATTACTAGTTTCCCTAGATTTACCAGGAAGTTCCTAAAAGAAAGCATGGTTCTAATTATTTATACAGAGTTGGGAGTATTTAATTTCACAGGGCTGATCATATTTGAAGGTTTTGAGTTGGTCTTCTATGTAGGACTAAAGATTAAATTTGCTTTCACTGTACAGGTGTTAAATTCTCAAATACTGTTGATTAACAGCATCAGCTTCTGTGCACCCGTACCCCTTGCCTGCTTATTCCCAGAAAATAATCCCTAGCATATATGGCAACTCCTAAATACTTGTTTCAAATTATGCTGACTTTCAATTTTATATGCCCCTTTATATTTGGGTATATAAATCTGATTCTATTGAATTAATTCAGTATTTTTTCAGATTGAGACACTCAATAATAATCAAAATAAATATAGAGTATTCCAATCATAGATAATCCATCTATCCAAATATTTACTGGATACCTACTATATAGATAGGTATCATTTTAGGCACCAAGGAGCAATGAACAAAACAGACAAAAATTCTGCCTCTGTGGTAGAAATGGTTTGGTGTAGAAGATGAACAATAACATAATAAACAAGTAAAAATTTGTTATATATTATATAGGATAAGTGCTGAGGAAAAATAAGCAGAAAATTAGGACATAAAATGTTAGGGAAGTAGGAGTTAAAATTTAGACAGGGTGTCCTACTAAGGCTTCACTCCAGAGTTGACTGCATAAAATGAGGCTACTTACCTTAGAATATAAAAAGAAGAGTATTCCAAGCAAAGGGAAGAATAAGTATAAAGGATTGGCAAGAGAGCAAGTTTGGAGTGTTTGGAGAATAGTAAAATGGCTGAAGAGGTGAATATACAATGCAAGTATGAGTGTAACAGATGAAGTCAAAGAAGTAAAGGGGTGCCAGAGTACGTAGGACTTTATGGGACCCAGTCAGGACTTTGATTTTATTCTGAATGAGATAGGGGTCACTGAATGGTTCTGAGAAAAGGAGTGACATAATCTGATTATGTTTTAACAAGATTGCTCTGGCTGCTATGTTGAGAATATACTAGAGGAACAGGTATAACCAGTTAGGTTACTGCAGTAAACTAGGGGAGAGATGAAGAAGACTTGAACCGAGGTGGTAGCAGTGAGGGTGATGAGAAGTAGCTGAGTTCTCAAAGTATTTTTAATGTAGAACCAACAGGATTTCTAAACAGACCAAGAATGGAAAAAAAGAAAGAGGAATCAAAATGATGTCAAGTGTTGAGGTCTGAACACCTGGAAGGGCAGAGTTGCCATTATCTGAGATGCAAAAGGCAGTAAGAGGAGCTAGTTTACACGGAGGAATATAAGTAGCTCAGGTTGAAACACCTGAAAGTTTGAAATACCTATTAGACATCTAAGTCAAAATGTCAAACAGGCAACTGGATAAACAGACCTATACAGGAAAAGGTATAGGCTGGTAAAAAAAATATTATAAATTATGATATGTGTAAGAGTTAGGATATATGACCTCAATGGCTTAATCATAGTAGATTAAAAATGGCACAAAATGAAATAACAGGCATTAGAAAACATATGATGAAACAACAGAACTAAAAACCAAGCTGAAACACTCCAAATAAAAGCAGAATCACAACAAAAAGTAAGCATTTCCTCAGAAATCTTCAGAAGGATGTGGATACAAAGGCATTAAATTGGGATGCAAGTGAAATCCTCCTACAGTTGCTTTCAAGTGATGTTAATGGGAAATGAGATATAAGCAATTAAAGATTACCAATTAATTTTACCAAGTGACTTACCTCACGAATTCCTCTGCACACAACTAAACTGCACACTACTAACTTCTTACCACCTTTACGACCAGTGTGTAATTTTTGCAGTTCCATATTGTATAAACATGAATAAAGACAATGTGAAATTACTGATGTGGAAACACTCTCTACACAGGTATCTTGTAAGATATTTTAAAAATAAGAATAAAAAGCTAGCCACTCTTTTTGGTTTTTGTTAGCAAGCCAAAGTACAATATTACTATAATCTCAAAGAATCTAGGAACTCTTCCTCAGGTCGTTCAGAAAAAGACCATTAAGATAGGGCAGACACATTTTCTCTATTTGAGTAATTAATCATGTTTACCATTATCCCTTAGACAATGTCCACACAGTCATCTCAATAATTTCTTTAACATATAAATAAATTCTCTATTTTGAAAATAGTAAAATTATAGTGACATGCCAGTATACTACCAATGTACTTTAATTAAAAGCATGAAATACAGCCATTATGTACGTACGTCATTACTGGTTAGTCTACAAATCTCAGGAAAAGAACATTATGCAAAAAAAAAGTGATTTTGTTTTAATGTACTTCTGTATTTGCCATGTATAATCAGTACTAAAATCTTTAAGAAATGTAAATAAATAGGTAGAAGTTCATAATCAATCACATCTTTTGTCCTGGGAAACCTCTCAGTCCTGAGTAATCTAGGACAGATGGCTACACTATTACTCAAAAATAATCTCATGAGATCTATGTAGTAGCTTGATTCCATTGCCTTTAGCACAGCGCCTCCTTAACATACATATTGATTTGACTTAAGTCATCTTTTGAGCTTAAATGAAAGCACAAAGAGCTTATCAAGCACTGATATGAGTACCACTGGAAAATAAAAATCTAAGCAGGTGGCACCTCTCCCCCCAATAAAGCTTATCAAGTTGTATTCCTAGAAGCAATCCTGCCACAGCTATCAGAAGAGCCACAAGTCAGAAGCAAGTTTATATATATAAAGCATCTCAGGAGTGTTCTACTTAGTGTTATTTTTGGCTCTTACAGTAAGAAACTTCAGTGAGAGATATACCATATTTGGCCATATATAATGTACACTTTTTTGCCCAAATTTTTGAGGAAAAATTAAGGGTGTTCATTATACATGGGTAGTGCTTATTCTGTATCTATATGTCTTTAATTCTTTTATTTATGCTTTTGCATTAAAAGTGTAACTCTAGAAAAAAATAATGATATCCATGTTCAAAATAATACCCTGGAGACAACAGTTTTGTTTCTAAATGTAAATAAATAAATCATTTAATTCAAAAATTAAAATGAAAGGTTTTTTTCCCTGAAAGTGTGGGCCAAAAACGTGTGTGTGTATTATACATGGAAGTGCATTTTACACAGCAAAATACAGTATAATGCAGCTGAGATCTCTCTGTTCTTTCAACAGGAGCTATCACTCTACACATAACTGAGCTTTTCATATTCCTGCATCTCCTGCAAAACATATATGTGCACATTTTATCCCTAAGTTTTACAGGAGAGATTTTAAGGAAATATTTTTCTGGGAAACAGAGCTTATTATTGCTAAGTAGAGAATATGATCTGGCTGGCCAGGCATTTATTTAAAAATGACCTAATCACACATTTGATTCTACTTCTAGAAATGTATACTAGGCTGATCACCCAAAATGGTCATAATGTGCCTGTAGATATGTACCATAGTATCATGTATAATATCAAAACAAAAAACAATTTAAAACAAGGTATTAAATAAAAATACATTCACACAATAAAACACTACGTATTCATTAAAGGTTTTTTCCACTGACTGAAAAACATCCACTATATATTGGCTTTTTTTGAAAATCCTCACCTGAGGACATGTGTTTTTTAATCGATTTGAGAGAGAGAATAAGACAGAGGGATATCAGTTGCCTCCCATACATGTCCCTACTGGGGATCGAACCCTCAACCTAGGTATGTGCACTGACTAGCAATTGAACCCACAACCTTTTGGTATACAGGAAGATATTCCAATTAACTAAACCACCTGGCCAGGACATAAATTGGCTTTTAAAACCAATTTATGGCTTTAAAATTGGCTTTTAAAACCATAAATTGGTTTTTAATTGGCTTATAAAAACTTTGTATAATATGCCCCCCCTTATAAAAAATTTAATATGTAAGATGTACACATATGGACACACTTAGGAAAGATGTCACCAAAATATTAACAGTGGTTTGCTTTATAAGATTTTATTTATTATTTTTGTTATTTAAATATGCCATATTAGTATGCATTATAAAAAAAGATTAAACCTATTTACATTCTAGAAAAAAATGTTTTAAACTGATATTTTCAATCTACAGTAGCTACTTCTTATGACAAAATCATCTGACTAAAATAGTGAAAAATGTTTTAAGAATCCAATTTGAAATCCTAAAAATATGTAAAAATGTTAACATTTCAAACATAGCACCATATATATTACTCACTGTCTCTTGAACTTCAGCAACTTCGGAATATGGGAGGATCTAAAAAAGAAACAAATTTTCTCAGGAGTGATTTAATCTCATGTACCAGAATCTGAATCTAAAGAGCACCCACAGTTTATCAAAAGAATTAAGAGGTGCGTTAATCTTTTAAGAAGTAGCGAAGAAAAAAGGTACAATATTAAGTTTAAACTGGAAACTCAATCCTTTAAAAAAAAAGCCCAAGGCTTCAGAAAATTATAGTCAATCTTCCAACCTATGTAGTTCTTTCTGAAATGTTCTTTGTTTCTTCACAGACCCAGTTTTTTTCTCCAGACCTGGCTTCATTAAAAAACTTCATTCTGAAGCATTGCTACCTACCTATATGTTTGGGCATTATTGCAAATTAACTTCTTTGTTCTAAAATTCTATTAACAAAGGAAGGGCTTTAAAATGTGTTTTATAAAATACCTTTATGTCAAAAATAGCACTCAGTAGTTTCCCTCAGAATCAAGATTCCATGCCAACTTGCCTAATTTTCCAATGGTACCATCTTCCTTTCAATCACTCAGACCTAACCCCTTGAATCATCTGAAACTCTTTTCCCCCAACATCTGATCAAGTCATTAAATTCTGATGATTGTTACCTAGACAATGTCTTTCTCACAGTCCTTTCCTTCAATTCTCATTAATACCATGTAGGCCAGACCCACATTACCTCATTTATCAACTTCTGCATCTATCTCCCTTTCAATAAATATCCCTGTGTTCACTTTTGCCCCACTCATTCATTTACTATGTTAGGTACTAGAATTTAAAAACATGATAAAGACATGGTTCCGCCCTGGCTGGTGTAGCTCAGTGGATTGAGCGCGGGACTGAGAACTACACGATCGTGGTTCGATTCCCAGTCAGGGCACATGCCTGGGTTGCAGGCCAGTTCTCAGCAGGAGACTCACGAGAGGCAACCATACATTGATGTTTCTCTCCTTCTCTCCTCCCCTTTCTCTCTAAAAATAAATAAATAAAATCTTAAAAAAAAAAAAGACATGGTTCCTACTGCTAAGAAAATCATATATTGAAATTTGTATGCACTATACAGTAACTTGTTTGACATTGAGATAAGTTATCTCCAGTCTACCCAAATTACTCATTCTTGAAGCTAGCCCTATTGCTATCAAGTAATTTAACTTCTCTGAGGTGTATTTTCTCCTCTGTGAATACAGTTATTAAACATTACAACTTTCCAGAATTTACTTTATAGATTTTTAATTTTTATTTATTTATTTTTTAAAATGAGGTCTACTTCATAGATTTTTTAAAAGCAATATATAGACATCAAGCAAAATTGTTAGTAGTACAACAAATAACAAAGACCAAGAGAGGACCGATAAGGGTCCTCTTAAGGGAATGATTAATTTACCAACTATCACTTTAGCTATGTTGTTCCTCCATGTAAAAACATTTGATATCATCAATTCTCTAAAAAATAAGCTCTTGAAATGTACTGAAACCTTCTACAATTTTAGCTCAATTACCCATCCCAAGGAAATGTTTTCATTTCCTATGACAGTCTCACAACTCCAAAACTCCATCTATCTAAATTCAGTCTAGAAAAATTGATTGCTCAGAGTGATCTGCAGTTCTGTGGCTACTTTCTTTCTGCTTCCCTGCTTAGTAGCTGGAAAGTTCACTGACCCTGAAGGCTCAAATCAAATTGCCAATTCCATGACCAAACTTCAAGCTTAAGTTATCTTTCCCCAACTCTGATCTTCTACTATCAGTTTTTTGACAATGTATAGTTCACTATTATAGTATTTTCTCTATGTTACCATTAAAAAATCAAACTGTTATTTAACTTATCCCTAATATTATAATGATCTAGTACGGTACTGTCAGATAGAACACTCTGCAATGATGGAAACATTCTACACCTGTGCTAATCGATAGGGTAGATACTAGGTACACATGGGTATTAAATTGCTGAAATGTAGCTAAGAAGACTGAGAAATTCAACACTTAATTTAATTACTTTAAGTGTACATTAGTCATAAGTGGCTACCCTTTCTGTACATATCAGACCTAGTACAACCTGATCTTTTCCCAGCTCAACTTCACTGAGAATTTGCTATCTAGCACTTGCAACTGCAGACCAATCCTTTTCTCAAACTCTTCCCTTCCTTAGTTTCCCAGCTATTTTCTCTCTATTCTCTTCTTTCCTCTCTCTGCTTGACTCCCTTCCCTTTCTGCCCCTTAAAATAGTTATTCCCAAAGGCTGCATTCTAGAATACCTTTGTCCTCATTCAGCATGCTTTTCCCTAGATGACCCCATTGACTTGATTTTTAAATGGGCTCTATTCAATGAAAATTACCCAAATTAATTTCCCATCTCTTCCGAGCTCTAACCCCTTCTTACTCCATCCCCATCACCTTCCTGGTGCACTCATTCTTCTTACCCCAGATCAAATATCACATCCTTGCTAAGGGCTTTTCTGACTTCCCAAGTTAAGTATACCAAAGGGATACTACTATATCTTCACCTAACACAGAACTATTCCATCTAATTGTCACTACATCCTTCTATCAGACGGAACTACAAGGAAGAGTCCACATAGCTCTGTGTATTTCTAAGAGCACTGACCCTGCATCTCTGTCTTCCTGAGACTAAGGAGATGGAAAAACCATTCACTCACCTTTCCCCCAAACCTCAAAACTTACAGCCTAGACACCAGCCTGCCTAACAGACCTGCAAGGACCACACGTGGCTCTTCTCTTTGCCTAGAAAACTACCTTCACAGTTCTGCTCAAAAATCACTTCATCAGAAGACTTCCATGATATTCCTAAAAAAAAAAACAGCAACACCCATCCCCTCTTCCAGTACTCTTTATTCTCACCTTACTTTATTTTTCATCACAACAGTCATCACATAATACAGTATATCATTATGGGGGGTTTTGGGTCCTTGTCCATTAGAATGTTAGTTCTACTGGAGCAGGAACTTCATCTACTTTGTTCTCTTTTGTATTGCTTAAAACTATACATGGTAGACATTCAACAAATACTAAATGAATGAAAAACGTATAAATGAAAAAAGGTTTAATCATTATTATAAACATGTAGTTTGTTAAGTTCCTCTGTATAGTAAATGAATTAGTTTAAATTCTCATGGCAAAAAACGAGTCTTGCTCATCTTCATGCTTTACAAAATTTATCATTCTGTACACTTAACATAGAGAAAGAAAGAACTAATATGGACTACAATCATGAAATCTGATCTAAGTCTAACTCTACAATATTCCTTGCGCAAGTCTGAATAAACATCTTGAATTTAATTCTTATTTATTCATGAAATCTGTCCTAAAATTCTGTTATATTAAAAATTCAACCTAGAAAAGCACCTCAACGCTAAGAATATTCTTAGTTGTACTTAAAGCATACTCATATTTTCTTCAACTATCAGTCTTGGTCATCATCTGCCCAAATTCCATATTTGGTAATTCTTCCATCCTTTTTCTTAAATAATTCTGTTCTTTACAAATAACATTGTTACAGATTCACCACCAATTTTTAGTAATGGAACATAAGTTACATTTGTCCAATTCTGGTGATCTCTTGCCAGGGTTATATCAACCTCCTTCATCGAGGTCTTCATATACAAGGAAAGTTCAAAATCAATCAATGCCAATTGTAACTAATGTCACGCATCTGGTGAGACTACCAGTGAAGTGTGTGGTTATAAAATCAGAAAAGAAATTATTATCTACTAAAAGAAATTAAACTCATAACCTTGGCCTTTGACTTTATTAACATTCTCCTCTATATCTGACCTAACCATTCATAGTTACTCAAAAAGGTTACAAATTAATGGCACAATAGAAACCATGTTATCATCAATCGTGCTAGGTTAGATATGAAACTGGTTATATGAGATAGCTCATGCATATAAATATTTCCATGGGTGATGCATACTCTTATGACCTGTTTAAATAATTTTGGTTTTCAGTCTGAAAATCAAACTTGGAATTTCAGTTTAGCCAATTCTTCACACAGACGCATAAGCCTACATCATGACCAGGATCTAAATTAAGACATAAGGGCCAGTACAGCATAGGAAATATTTGGTAATAACTATTGTAACAACTATGTATGGTGCCAGGTGGGTGCTAGACTTATCAGGGTATCACTTCATAAGTTATATAAATGTCTAACCACTACACTGTACACCCAAAACTAATATAATATTGAATGTCACCTGTAATTGAAAGACAGTTTAAAAGAACTGCATATAAATACCTTCCTTCTATAGTTCCACTGTATTTCTAACATATGGCTGATTATATATTATGTTGTTCAGTATCAAGCCACAGACAAGACGGCTAATAATAGTATAGAAACATCAACCTCCGAGACTCATAATATCTACCACACATAAAAATTCAGTTAGCAACTGTTCTTCACATTTCAGCAACTACTTGGTGCCTAAATGCCAAAATATTCACCCCAGAGAGAAAAGTCAAAATTAGTTTCAAGAGAACAAAGCTTGGGTTAAATAAAATAAATCATGTATTACATACTTTCAGAGTATATATTAGTTAATGCACATAAAAATTTTAAGGATGCTTTAAAAAACTAGGTATTATATAGATTAGTTTGTAATAGAAACACATTAGCCTTTATAGTTAATAAGACTAATAGAATTAGAGCATCTGTACTGAAATCCTAACATAGCCTACTGACTAGCTATGTGATCTTAGGTAAATTACTAACCTCTTCAGAACCTCAGCTTCTTCACTTCTAAAAAGAGAGTAGTATATATTATATACTTCACATTATCATGGAAAGGATAAATGAGAAAATGTGGGAGACATCAAGCCAAGGTCAGGACTCACAATAAGTGTGCAAAAAATTTTTTTCTCTCTCACACAAATATAGTAACCCAAACATGGAAAGTGCAGATTCTAGAAATCTAGGGGAAAAAGCAAAATCCAGAAGAGACATATTTTCTAGTCTGCTACTACTACTACCCTACAGACTTAAACTACTTTTTACCTAGATTGTACAA